AGATAGATAGATAGATAGATAGATAGATAGATAGATAGATAGATAGATAGATTAATGAACAAATGAATGAGTAAATAAATCAATCAATAAATAAATAAATTAGAAAATGCAGGACACCCTAAGGTCAGGGAAGGATTGAGTAGAGGCCAGATGTACACTATCAGAACATGAAGCCAAAGCCAAGGTAACCATCACAGTTTCTGATGAGCTCTTAGGCTGTAAAAGCAGCAGAGCCATTCGCTGCCAACTGTGCACTTGGCACGTCAGGCGCTGACCCGCACTGCAGATGCTGACATACTACCTAGCAGGGAAGAGGGAGTGTGTACAGACAGGAATATCGTGCCTTACTTACTTCTGGGAGTGGAGACAAGGAAGTCGCTCGGGGCCATGAGAGAAAACTCTGTGGGACATCTGAGATGGCTCCCCAGTAGGGAAGTGAGGCAGAGGGCATGGTGGCAGCTGAATCAAGGAAGCAGACAAAGTGTCAGTGGACTTGGACATGGACAGGGACTTCACTCAATTCCTTAGATGAGAAAAGTGCTCTACTCTTGCTGATTACGTGCTCTCTTTGAAGACTGAAAAATATGTCTTTGTGTGTAGATGCGTATTTATATATGTGCTTGCATGAAAGGCCGGAGCCCTCTGGAGCCATCCACCTTGTTCTTTAAGACAGGGTCTTCTGTTTGCCTGGAACTTGCCAAGTAGGCCAGCAAATCCCAGGGATCAGCCTCTCTCCTCACCCCCAGTGCTGGGATAACAAACCCAGGGCCATGCTTGGCTTCTTGCATGGATACCAGGGATCAAGTTCAGATCCTTGTGCCTGCAAGCACGTTCCTGACTGAGCCAATGTCTCCCTGGCCAGGTGCAGGCCTCTCGGGTCTCCAGATTTCAATCCACACTCACCTGCAGCCCTGAAGTGGTGCTGTGTGGTGGTCCCTGTGCCTGGCTCACTCCACGGTGCAGAAGACACAGTTCTCCCCCAGCCCACGGTCCAGCACAGCCGGCTCACACAGGATCCCAAATTGCAAACGTTTACAGATTTTTTAAACTCCTCTGTCACTTCACTGATGACAACTCAAAGGAAATGCTCCTGCCTCAGTGGGGAGAGCTGGGTTCCTTAACTTAGGAGTTCAGGGGGGCTGTCTCCTGGCTGGAAGGGAATCTTGCAGGCAGCTTCCATTGACACAGCTTGAATTCTGGGCCTGAAAATCATTTCCAACCTCCACAGGATCTGTATGCTGTGGCCTTAAAAAAAAAAAAAAAAAAAAAAAAAAAAACAGAAAGAAACTCCCTTTCATTTTAATTAATGGTGAACTTATCAGGTTTTAAATAACGATTGCCTTCATGAAGGAAAACTGGGTAGAAAACTGCAGATCTGCTTATTGGAATAACCTCAGCAGTCAGGAAGCCCTTTCTGACAGGTTGCAGTTAACTAGAATAAACATCTTTCACTCCCTTTTTCCGCATCAACTTAAAACAGCAGAGTCAAGGTGCCTTCCAGAATAGTGACACCCATTCAGAAATGTCCCCTGAGGATGTCAGGTCACTGCAGCACCTTCATTTTAAATTATTTCAAAGCACTTAGGATTTCTACAATGTGTCTGGCCAGTAACCGACAGCACAGCAGTTATGACTAACTTACTGTGCTCCACCTACCCTCACCCTGGGCAGCTCTTTCTTTGTCTCTCCTACACTCTCCACAACTTTGAGGGGCTAATCAGAAGAGCCGGCAGAGTTGACAAGTCTTACACTGAAACAACATCACAAAAGTTCAAACCAATTCCATTCTTATGATGTCATACATGCAACTTACACCAAATCGTCCTGATCTGGAGGCTACCTAGATTCAGAAGAGTTTTCGTCCCTGTTCTAGTTCCTACCTTCCAGTGGGGGTGGCTTTATACTCCCAATTCTCCTGCCTCTGCTGCCTGAATGCCAGGGTTGTGAGTGTACCACACCCAGCCTAGATTCAGTTTCTGCTTTTTCTATGACACTGGAGGGAATCTGTGCAGGTGGGTAACCACATTCCTCCATTGTTCTAGGAGACCAAGAGAGACCTCTGCCTCCACACTGGTCACTCACCTCTGCAACTTTGCTCTCTGGTGACAACACAGGGGATTCAGAAAAGCCCAACTTCCAGGCCTGTTCCTTTAAACCCAGCCTGTGGTGACCAATCATACTCTAAGGTTTATTCTACAATGCGACCAATGCCAAAATAATGGAACTGAGAAAGATCTTAAATTGTTTGTCTCAGACTCCGTGGATACTAGGGAAGGTTGGAAACAGATATGATAGCGCTCAGCTCTAGAAAGGTCAACTGACTTTATCAAGGTCATACAGACAAAGAGTCAAGCTCTTCTTTTGAGCCCTTGGTGCTCAATGTAGTCTTCAGTATTGGCCTCACCCTAGGGATCCTTAGAGATCAGGGTTCTGGGCCCCATTCAGCTCCATTGACTCACCTTTGAGAAGTCAGGGTCACTGCAGAGACAATGAGAACTTAGGGAAAGCAGGAACTTGAAGCAGGGCTTACCTTTCCTAATTGTAACCAGGAGCTGAGGACACAGCTTAGGGCTAGAGCACTGCGTGTAAGCAGAAAGTACCATTGGCTATCCTGAAATTACGACACTACCCACTCTTCCATTTTTTGTGGCATAGGCCTAACAACATGTGGCTGTGGCTTCATGCTTTATGAATAGGTCGTGTGTGCAAACTGCCAGGGAGGGAATACAGTATACGGTAACTAATTCTATTTCCAGACTCATATCCATTGTTAAAATTAGTCCTTACTAACCATGTACCTGAAGGGGTCGCTTTTCACTCTTCCTGTGCTTAGTTCTAAGTATCACATAGCTTCCATGCTGTATAGTTATCTTTATGATAGTTTGTGTTTCTGTCTCTCTAGAAAATTATTAAGTGGAGATGCCACAGAGAGTACCCAGGCTTGGTTCCCAGCACCCACATCGGGCAGCTCAATTGGCCTTTATCTCTAGCTGCAGCAGAACTGATGCCCTCTTCTGCTCTCTGGGCACCTTCACCCATGTGCACATGCCCCTAAACAGATGCACACATACAAATTTAAAAAAAAAATTAAAAACTAGAAAAAGGAATCTTTTCTTCCTAAAGAAAGAAAATTAAGGTACAAAATACTGACTCATAGCTATTTTCAGTGACATATTTAGAGACAAGAGAGTGCTTCCCAAAACTAGAACCAAAGAAGACAGTATGCTTGCCAACTCCTTCTTCCAGCTCCCAGAAGCCAGGCTGCTAAGAGCCGCTAGGCACGTGTGGCTGCTCACGTCTCTATCAGTGTCTCTGGCAAGCTCTGTTGCTGTGAGCCGAACCCACACCACCAACAGAACACTGCAGGGACGTTTCCCTGAGGTCCCTGCAATCGGCACTTGAGATGATGAAACGGGAGATTTGTGAGTTTGAAGCCAGGCTGCGCTACAAGCTGAGACCCTGCCTCAAAAAACCAAGAAAAGTAAATAAATAAAAAGGGTATTTCACCCCCAATGTATCACATCTGTGAACAGTAAAGAAATTTTTAAAAAGGAAAGAGAAAACGGAGTTTCAGTATCTGTCCAAATCTGAACTAAAATCTGGCAAAGTACATCACACTCAGGACTGAATCCAAACTTGCTCTGTGTTATGAAGGAAGCGTTGTGATTTTGGCACCAGTGAGAAAACCAGGATTCCACAGGCTCCCCAGCCTATCAGTTCAGAGACAGTAAAGGACAAAGCCTTATAAAAATGAAATGCAAACTGTTATCAGAGAGGCTTCACCCAGCAACTGATGGAAACAGATGCAAGGGACCCACAGCCATATATTAGGTAGAGCTTGTGGAATCCTTCAGAAGAGAGGGGAGAGGATTGTAGGAGTCAGAGGGGTTAAGGAGGTATCAAGAAAATACAGGATCAACTAAGCTGGGCCCATTGGGGCTCACAGAGACTGAACCAGCAACCAGAGAGCATGCATGAAACAGACCTAAGCCCTCTGCCCATACAGATGCGTAGCTTGGTCTTCTTATGAGACTCCTAACAGCAGAAGCAGGGGCTGTCTCCGACTCTACTGCCTGCCTTCCCTCCTGCTGGGTTGACTTGTCCAACCTCAATCACAAAAGATGCACCTTGATATGCCAGGGCTGTGATGTCCAAAGGAGGCCTCCTCTTGTCTGAAGAGAGAGAGGAAGAGTGGATGATGGGGGTGGGATGGGAGACAAAACTGGAAAGAGAGAAGGGAGGGCAAGCTACCATCAGGATGTAAAGTAAATTTGTTTGTTTTGGTTTGTTTGTTTGTTAAAATGGAATGTAAATGTATGAGGGAGGGGCCAGGCCACAGTGGGGTTTCTGCCAGGCACAGAGCCAGCACTCCCACGGTGTAAAAGCCGGGCACATTTTAAGGGAGCCGACCCTCTGAGCTGTTGCTAACGCCAGTGTGTCCTCTGCAGGTCTTTCTGCCACTCGCCCAGGACTTCCACAGTGAGGAAAGGAGCTGCAGGACCAACAGCCTCTAAGATGTTTATATGGACCAGTGGCCGGACCTCTTCATCTTACAGACATGATGAAAAAAGGTAACGCGCTGGACTCGGTGCTCCTGGCAGACTTTACCGAATGGAAGGTGACGAGGCAACGAGGACTGTGTTGTAGTTAATTCATAATTCCTATTCACCCGCCCTGCCTCCCAAGTAAAAGATACAGAGATTTATTAGATTTATTAATAAGCTCTAGGCTCAATAACTGGGTAGATGTTCTTTTATGCTAACTCTCTAGCTAGTCTGGCTACCTCCAAGCCACATGCTCCAAGTTAATTGCCATATATTCTGTCTGGGCAGTTTCTAGTCCTCATGGTGATGTCCTCTCTCTATCTCTTCTTCCTTTCTTCTTTCTCCTCCTGGTCCCTACCTGAGACCCCAGGCCTGGCAATAGAAGCTCCACCTACCTCTCTTCTGCTCCACTACAGGCTGTCCAGCTTTTTTTATTATTATTAACCAGAGATAATTGGGGAGCAAAGTTTACACAACATTAATCAGAGTTCATGACAATGTACTCATCTGGACTGCAGCCAGATCTCCCGGCCTAGAACTCAGCATTTGTATACAGAGAAGACCAGATTAACCCTCAACAAGACTGTGTTGGCTACTTTTCTTGTCTCTGTGACACAGCACCTTAAAAAAACTTAAGGAAGGAGGGGTTGCTTTGGTGCACAGTTGGAGAGTACAGTCCATCACAGTGGGGAGGACATGGGCGAGGAAGTGTGGGGCAGCTGGTCACCTTTCACCTGTGGTCAGCAAGCAAAGATGATGATGATGCTGGGCCTGCCAGCTCCTTATTCAACCCCAAAGCCCAGTCTCTGAGATGGTGTTGCCACACTGAAAGTGGGTCCTGCACCCTGTGAGCACTAGTTTTACAACGGGAGCTTGAGTCATCTGGGAAGAAGAAACCATGACTGAGAAAATGTCCCCACCACATCGGCCTATACTAAAAACACCTTCACCTCGTGCCAGAGGTGTGTTTCCCATGTTTATTATAAATCCTGTGAGATGAACATCACAGAAACTGAATTTCATGTTTTAAAATTTGGGAGGGGCACCCTACCACAGGGCTGGGGCTTTAGGTACTCTGGCCTTCGACTTCCATCTCTCTTACATGTTCACTTACACCCAGTGACTTTGCAAGACTGCTGCCAGTCAGAAATGACCCCCCCGCCACACACACACACACACACACACACACACACACACACACACACACACTCATGTACTACCTACCCTTTCCTTCTCTAGTCCTGGCTCTGTATGAAAATACCTAAGCAGAACTCGAATCCCACTCCCAGTCTCGCTATCCTCTTTACCCACTCAGACTTTGTTTTTTTGTCTAGGGAACCTCCAGAGCCTTGCGTTGTGCCAGGACACAGTAGATACTGAACATATTCTGACTCAAGTGATGAACATTGCATTTCTAGGCACCAACATATGGCAAGACGGAGGTTGAAACGGCAAGAGGGCTTAGGGAGGATTGGCAGGTTCAGGGATCCCTCAGAATGCTTGTGAGAAGAGCTGAGGGGAGGAAACAAATGGAAGGAGAAAAGTGACAGAGGGCAAGGTCACACAAGGCAAAGCCAAATGGGTTGTGCAGCTCAACCGAACCACCTCCTTTCCCCTTTGTGTTTAGTGAGTAAATGTGTTCAAAAAAGTATATACTCTCTCTCTCTCTCTCCCTCTCTCTTTCTCTCTCTCCCTCTCTCTCTTTCTCTCTCTCTCTCTCTCTCTCTCTCTGTGTGTGTGTGTGTGTGTGTGTGTGTGTGTGTGTGTGTGTGTGTGTTGCACATGCAAGCATGGGGGCCAGTGATTGATACTGGATGTCTTCTTCAATCTCTCTCCACCTTTGTTCTCTCACTGAGCCTGGATTTCAATGGCTGGCTAGACTGGTTAGGCAGTTAGCTGCCTGTCTCCACTCCATACCCAGTGAGAGCTAGGTTTAGATGTGAATCACTGTGCCCTGCTATTTATATGTGGGTGTTGGGGATCTGAACTGAAGTCCTAATGCTTGAATGGCAGGCACTTTCCCCATTGAACTGTCTTCCCAGGATCTCTACAACTGTATTAAAATATCTATTTTGCTCCGTTCGTTACCAGGGGTTGGAGTCTGAGCCCAGTGTTTCTAGGTTCTTGGCTTTTTATCCAAAGAATTGAAATAAAGTCTCACACAGTTTGCAAAGTAGCAAAGAAACTTTATTCAAAAGCAAAGCAACAGCAGAGATAAGAAATAAGTGCACTTCAAGTAGGCAGGAGACCACATAGATGGCAAAGTGCTGAGGCCCTTACTAGTGTCCCGGGCTTCCTTTTATGGAGCTGAAGAGCAGGAGAAGCCTGTTACTAAGGAGCACAGTGAGAGGGGTTCTCTCTTTAGGTCGATCGATTAGATCATAAAATCATTTTTCTACCGTGTATGCCCTTCCTATAAAGCATGTGATTTTAATCCTAGGCATACTCATATACATAAGCATATGATGGTAAAATAGGAGTCTCCCTAAAAGTTCACTTGAGGAACCAGTTTGTCCCCAAACCAGTTCAAGTTGGACCAGCCTTCGTTTGCTTGTACATGAATGTGTTGGAAATATATTAGCTAGACGCTGCCTATTTGGAGATTGTCAAGGGAAGAAACTTACACCTTGCTTAAAATAAGTACATGGAGCCTGATACACCTGGGAACCAAGGGCTGCCTGATGATGGACATAGGCTTCCAAATGCACTGTTAAAAGATGGGTACACATAGGCCAAGCCAGCTGGAGTCCCAGGTGGCTGTGCTACTCCCAGTGCTCCTTGCCTCCTCTTTACATTCTTCCTCCACAGCTCTTTCTTCCTCATTAATCAAGTACTATTATTTAAGCAAAGGTAAGTTTTAAACACGCCTGACCTTACCAGCATTCTGCAGCTTGAGTGACACATCACAGGAAGAATGTGATAGAAATCAGAGCTGAGAATGATACTGGGCACGCATAAGAGGGTTGAGAAGTTTATTTTTCTACTTTTTTAATTTTTATTTTATTTAAGTTTATTTGCTTTACATCCAAGGGTGTTCCCTCCCTCCTCTCCTTCCAGTACTCCCCAACCTCCTTTTCCCCCTTTCTTTCTCTCTTTCCCCCCAGAAAAGGGGAGCTTCCTCCATATCAACCCTGCCTAGCACATGAAGTCACATCAGGACTGAACATATCCTCATCCCCTAAGGCCAGGCAAAGCAGCGCTGCCAGGGAAAATGATTCAAAAACAATAGAGCCATGTTAGAAATACCCCCTCCACTCATGAGGTGACCCACATGAAGATCAAGCTGCCCCTCAGCCACATAAGTGCAGACCATTCATGCTCCTTAGCTGATGTCTCAGTCTCTGTAAGCCCCCATGGATCAGGATTAGTTGTCTTTGTTGGTCTTGTGGGGTCCCTGTCCACTCCAGGTCCTTCCATCTTTCCCCCAACACTTCCACAAGACCCCTAAATCTCTGCCCTATACTTGGTTGCAAGTCCCAGCATCTGTCTTGATTCTCTGCTGGGTGGAGCCTCCCAGATGACAGTCAAGTTAGGCTCCTGTCAGCAAGCACAGCAGAGAATCATTAATAGTGCCAGGGGCTGGCTCTCCACTGTAATGTAGGTCTCAGGCGGGGTCAATAATTGGTTGGACATTCCCTCAATCTCTATGCCCTCTTTATCCCTGCACGTCTTGTAGGCAGGGTTTGGATCAAAGGTTTTGTGGGTGGGTTGTTGTTCCCCTCCCTCCACTAGTCCTGTCTGGCTAGGAGGGGTCACTTCAGTGTCCTTGTCCCTCCATGTTGAGATTCTCAGCGAGAGTCACATCCATATCCTCCCAGGAGCCTACCCTCTCTCAGGCCCCCAGCTTGACAAAGAGATGTCCCCTCTCACTTTCTCTTGTTCCCAGCCCTCTCAGCTCCCACTCCACCCCATTCTCCCCACATCTGATCCCCACCTTTTTTCTCTCCATTGCATCTCCTGCCCAGTTCCCTCTCCTCATCCACTTCTGCTGTCTATTCTATTTCCCCTTCCACTTAGCTGCCTAGGCCAAGGGCATGCACATGGACACCCCTGTTCCACAAATGCATTGGTTACTTTAAATCCCATAATTACTGAAATCACCCTTGAAGACAAAAATTAAAGTTATAATTTAAGTATGGGAGAATCTTACTGATGCAGAAGAGCAACATAGTTTTATATTCCTTTAACTCTCAAGAAATTACAGGTTTGTCAGGTCTGGACTGGTTTTGATGAACGTTCAATAATCACATTAAAAACAAACAAACAGAAACAAGGAAATGAGAAAATTACATATTAAACATGAGTTTTTTTAAAATAATGCAGGAACCTTTAAAATGTGACAGTAAGACTGTTAAAAACTACTCAGCTTAAAGATGAAGCCCATTAGGGTATGTGTAATGAAGTCTTAACTTTATGTCACCAAGCCTTTTTCTGACTGAACAGGATTCTCTACACTGGCTTCTGAGTGAGGAGGAAAAAAAAAAAAAGCTATCTTTAAAAACACTAATAATCCAGACAAAGTTCTGGAACAAAACACAGATTAGCAAGAGAAAAACAAGGACATTCGTTAAAGAAAACACACAGTGCACGTCACAAGGGAGAAAGAGACAGATAACCACCAAAGCAGTGGCTTGCAAGCCATCTTATTAAAGTGTTTCACAGAGCACAAAGATTTTATAGAAGCCACGGGATGAAGGGGAGGGGAGGACCCTGGGGAACGGAACAATCTGGGCCTGGCTGGTCGCCCCGCAGGCTGATGGAGGAGCCTCCCTCCCAACCCGACAAGAATGAAAAAAAGTGGAAGGGGGACAAGAAGCAGGAATGTCCCTTGTTTTATTAATCCTCTCCCAGATTTTAGGTAAACAAACAAGGGCAGCCAGGCCTCTTTAGCTTAACGAGGACAGACAGTTTTGTTTCTGTCACCTGTGATCCTAGCTCCAAGAAAAACTGTGCATTGTCTCCATCAGTAAATCCACCGCTCTTCTTTAATGGTCATATACATTGTGCACTTCTGCCGATAGACGGAA